ATAAGCACAGCAATGTGTAACGTTGCATGGCTCACCAGACCACCATAGGTTTTGGGGACACAGGACCCAAGTGCCAAGCTTCTTTACAGCAGATGGATAAGCTGTATAAGGATAAGGACTTCAGGACCTGATGAGTCTGGGGATCGAACCCAGGCCCTATAGTTGCTGCACAAGTGCTCTATAAGTGCAAAACTCTCAGCCCTCTTACCAAAATTACCAGCTGTTTCTTCAGCAATGTGTGTCTACTTCTCTGCGGTTATAAAGCCCTCTGCCCAGGTGTAGGAAGTTGGGTTTGATTGGACTTGGGAGGTGTGCGTTGTAACGGGTTTTGCAATTTTTAATATTATTATTGCTAGAACCTTATGTGAGGGTGTGAGGTTTATTTGAAGTCTACAGACCAGGGCAAGAGAGAGAAACGCTCACACCAAGGATGCTTCAGAAAAGGGAATTTATTGGCTAAATATCAAACTACTTTTGGACTACATTCAATGATAAACAATAGAAAATAAAACGAGAAAACAAAAGAAAACAAAGTGATAGTAATAAAAGACAAAATAGCTCGAGTAAGCTAAGAGTGATTCACGGCTAAATGGTATGAGGCAGTGTGGTTTGGGGAGCCACTTGGGAGAGCCTCTAGAGAATTAACCTAAGCCTGGACGGGAATAACTGTATGGCTGGATGTACCTATAAAAGTTCTCTTATTAAATAAATTGGCGTCAGGGCCCTGACTGCAAACTGATGGTTCCAGCTTACGTGGGAGTCGGGGGCTGATTTCAGGAGGGGTCATCTCAGGACAGACTCGATTGAAGGCTGGAGCTCACACGGTGGTTCCTCTCCTAGCTGGCCGTGGATGCTGCATCTCCGTGTGGGCACGCGCCTTTCCGTTAGTGATTGGGCGGAGGCGTCTCGTGGCCGTCTGACGGTAGAGCTTGGGTGGCCTTTTGAGGGTTGATCTGTTCACAGATCAGTGCGTGGCTCTGGGTGCGATGCTGGGTCTCCGTGGCGTCCGAACCGCTCCCACTCCGCTGGCGAGGTTCAGGTTGCAATCAGGGTTCTGAGGCTGGTGGTGCCAATTTAACTAACTACCTCTCTTTAGCAGAATCGAAAGTTATGGATATATCCTCCCTGGCCCGACAAGAAATATCCACCTTCCTTCTCTGAGGGTGGTTCAAACTTAAGGTGTGTAGATGAACAGGCAAGTTACAAACAAACAAAGGTTTCAGATCTGAAAATTTAGCGTCCTAATACTTCTGACCTGTCTTTCTGACCTAGGCCGGCACAAACTTAGAAACTTGTTGCGAACGCAGGAACTCTCCCAAATTTGCGGTGCACTCTGGTTTTGCTCGGCTGGAGGCCGTACCCTTTGGAGGTGGTGCCAGAGTGCTGATAGGTTCTTTTCACCTAAGGTTCTCTGATTGGTTGTGCATAGTTTGAGGAATGCCTTCCCCAAAATCACTGCCTCCTTTGTTTCAGCTAGTTTAAACAAAGAAAAAGAACATTTCTATATCATCCAATTGGTTTAACTTTCAAAATCAAGGAATGAACAATTAGGATATTCAGGCATGTTTCTAAGAGAGAGTTTAACCCTTGTTACCTGATACACAATACATGTCAAAGAACACAGGTACTACTTGCCTCATCATATCTGAACATGACCCAATGCATGAAAAAAATAAAATCAACAATAAAAGGAAAGGAACAAAGGAAGAAAAGAAAAGAAAACCACATTCAGGATACATCTTGGTCAATGGTCTAAACTCATAGCAATTAAATGGTTGGGTCTGACTGTTATCAAAGTTATACTCTACGTATTTCTAGCACTTAACGATAGAAAAAGATACAGGTAATATTTAGGTACTACCCAACAACAAGATTAATACCACAAGTAGTATTACTTACAGATCATAGCAACGTTGATAATCAAGCAGACAAAGCACGAATCATCAAGCAGAATCAAGCAGACAAAGCACGAAGTTTTCTTGCTTTTTATAAGCACAAGTCCTTACGGTGGTGATGCGGTAATTTGCGGTTTCACCCCTTGGGGGTGCTGTGGGTCCATGCTTGAGATCCCTAGGGAATTTAGAAAGTTGGAATTTTGCCGTCCAAAGTCGTACAAATTCCGTTTTGGTATGTCTAGTTTAGTTAAAAAGAGTTCTAACAAATGGTTGCAGTTTAGAGTGGACAAACACCTTAGAAATGTACTTTCTGTTACTTAAGATAAAAAGTTGTCCAGAGTACTTTGGAGAGGCTTCTGCCACATTCCAGAGGAAGTGTCCTGTTTTTCTGCTGGGTGAATTCAGCTGTAAATCTGACTGAGTCTGGGGTTGGGGGTACTAAGCCGACAGCTTTACGCCTCACTCCCAGACTTGCTGGAGCCAAAAGGCCCTTAACTTTTGGGTAAACACTCTGCTTGAGGTAGAGTTTCAGCCAGTGTTCGCTACAGCGTTACCTCCCTCTGGTGGCCAGGAGCGCCACAGCTCTGGAACAAGCCCTTACAGGACCCCCTCCCCGAGGAACGGCACCTGTCGTTTCCAACCCCGCACCCGCCGGGCATTGAGCAGACGCTCGACTGTGTAGGTGGGTGTGCTATCAATTATTCGAGGGGCAGGGGGTGCACAAGACGGGCTTCAGGCAAAAAACGTGGAATGTAAGGTTGGCATGGAGAGTTGAGGGAAGTGCCAATCGATATAACACTGGATTAACCCTACGGACCACTTTGATGGGTCCAACGTATCGAGGCGCTAGATTTCGGCACTTCACTCGGAGAGGTAGATCTTTGGCCGACAGCCAGATTCTTTGTCCAGGGCGAAAGGAAGGTGCAGGTGGCCTTCTCCAATCTGCTGACCACTTGTGAGTTGCAGTGGCAGCCTGGAGGGCTCTACATGCCCATTGTCAGGCCAGATGGCAGCGGGCCACAAGACGTCCTGCTGCTGGGGCTTCCACATCCTTCTTCTGTTCTGTAAACATGGGTGGAGCGCACCCAAACTGGCACCCTAATGGGACATGCCCAGGAACGAGTGCCATAATGTGGTGTTCCGACCAGGAGGAAGCGTTAGAGGAGGCCAGACACCGGAGAGTGCGTTTTAGGTCCTGATTAACCTTTTCTGTCTGGCCGTTTGACTGGGGGTGGAAGCCTGATGAAAGGCTGGATTTCACCCTCAGTAGCTTGCAAAAGGCTACCAAGGATCAGCTGGCGAATTGAGGTCCTCTGTCCGATACAACATCTCTAGGAAACACATGGACTCTGACTACTTGTTCTAGAAATAATTAAGCTGTCTCCCTCCTCCGCTGATGGAAGCTTTGGTAGAGCAACAAACTTGCTCGCCTTAAAGAAACAGTCAACAATTACCAGGATAACAGTGTTGCCCTGGGAGGGGGCAACCCTGTTATAAAGTCAAGAGAAGCATGAGACCATGGGCGAGAGGGGATGGGTAATGGATAAAGCAGGCCTGCCAGTTTAGTTCTGGGCTCCTTGTTGAAGGTGCACACCCTGCAAGCTGCTACATAGGCCTGCACGTCTAGGTCCATGTTTGGCCACCAGAACCGTCTACACAGGAACTCTAATGTGCGGGTCACCCCTGGGTGTGCAGTGAACAGGAAAGAGCGCCCCCATTGCAGCACCTGGTTCCTAACAGCTGTAGCAATGGATAGCCTATCACAGCGCCCCCTATATTGCTACAGCTGTTAGGAACCTCCCGGATCTGGTTCATTTCTTAGGGCCCGTTGTACAGCGGTTTCCACCCCCACTGGATGGGAGCCACTATTTGGCCCTCTGGGACTATGGTTGTTGGCTGTTGCTCTAGAGGGGAGGGCTCCCACTGGCAGGAAAGAGCATCTGGCTTAGCATTTTTCAACCTAGGTCTGTACGACAACACAAAGTCGAATCGGGCAAAGAACAGTGCCCACCTGGCCTGGCATGGATTTAGCCATTTGGCCTGCTTGATATAAGTCAAGTTTTTGTGATCTGTCCAAACCAGGAAGGGATGTTTGTCTCCCTCCAGCCAGTGCCTCCTCTCCTCTAAGGCCAGCTTGACTTGCTCCAAGGGGGAGAGGCGGTGTGAGAAGAAGGTGAAGGGGTGTAGCTTCTGGTTAGGACCAGACCGCTGGGAGAATACTGCCCCTACGCCTATCTCAGAGGCATCCACCTCTACCACAAAGGGGAGCTCTGTGTTTGGAAGTTGGAGCACTGGGGCCAAGGTCAGACACCGCTTGATTCCCTCGAAAGCTTCCTGGGCTTCTGGAGTCCACCGGAACAAGTGGTTGAACAACCCGTTGGATGTGGGCTACGTGGTCTTGGTTCTTGCTGTAGACGAGAATGTCATCCAAATAGACGAACACGTAACAATCAAGCGCCTCCCTCAGAACCTCGTTGATGTAGCGCTGGAAGACGGCTGGGGCATTCATCAACCCAAAGGGCATAACTAAGTATTCATAGTAGCCCAATAGGGTGATGAAGGCCATCTTCCATTCATCCTACTCCTTAACCCTGATTAGGTTGTAGGCACTGTACAGGTAAAGCTTGGTGAAGATGGAAGCCTGTTGCAGTGCCTCAAAGGCAGAGAACATGAGAGGCAAGGGATAGCGGTCGTTAATCTTCCCTACAAAGAAGAACCCAGCTCCTGCTGGGGAGGTCGATGGCCAGATGATACCTACTGCCAAGGACTCCTTGTAATGCTGGAGCCAGGGAAAGCCCGGCACTAACTGCACATTGGGGGCACAGATCAGGTATAAGGAGACCTGCTCATTGTGCTGTCCGATGCGCAGCGTGAAGGGTTTGGTTTGGTGGGAAACCGCCCCTGACTTGAGAGATCGCCCATCGATGGCTGAAACGGGTAGGTGCTGGTCTAGAGCAATCAAAGGCAACCTCAGAGCCCTGGCTAGCACTGCATCAATGAAGTTCCCCGCTGCCCCTGAGTCGACAAAGGCCCTCACTGTCTTGCCCCCATGAGATGACAGCGTTGAGGAACACCCCATTAGGTCCGGAGGAATGGATGAGTCTGTCACGGGTTCCCCCGTCCGTGATGGACGCGGTCATTTCCCGACAACTCGAGGCATGCGGGCCGCAAATATCCTGCTTGACCACAATAGAGGCACCGGCCTTCCCGCATGCGGGCCTCTCGCTCATGCCATGCCAGAGCAGCCATGAACAGGTCTGCCGAAGCACACACATACAGGAATGGCCCAAGTGAGGGCTTGACCCGAAAGGAGAGAAATTATATATGCTACTTTAGCCCTTTCTGAGGGGAACCTGGAGGGCTGCTGTTCAAATGCAAGCGAGCATTAAAGGAGGAAAACTCCACACCCTCCAGGATCCCCCATGTAGTGTTCTGGGGTGGGCAAATGGGGCTCTGCCCATGCAGCCCCTGCAGACTGAGGAGCAGAGGCTGGAGTGGGCAACTGGGGCTCTACCTAAGCAGCAGATGCCCCGGCAGACTGAGGGGCTCCCTCAGGGGGGATAACCCGCTGTATGGTTGTAGTAAGGCCCTGCGGCTGGGTTAGTATTTGCTGCAGGGCCTGCTCGTGCCTTCCAACAGCGCCCCCTTGATTAATCAGGGCAGCCCTCACCTAATCCATATCAGGCTGCTCAGCTGGGGCCATGTTTGGCTGTGTCTTTCTGTAATGTTGGGTGGCTCACCAGACCACCACAGGTTTTGGGGACACAGGACCCAAGTGCCAAGCTTCTGTACAGCAGATGGATAAGCTGTATAAGGATAAGGACTTCAGGACCTGATGCGTCTGGGGATCAAACCAGGGCCCTATTGGTGCTGTGTGAGCGCTCTACCACTCCACCATGTGGGATTGCCCAAAAATGGGTGGGAAAAGCCACCCGTTTTTGTCAGGCGGGAAAACGAACAAAGAACGGCAGGGGGAACTGGCTTTCTCAGAAGTTGAGGGAAAATGAAATAACTGAAAAAGGACAAATGACTTTCCCAACAGAAACAGGACCAAAAAACAGAACAGAAAGTTTTCTTTTCTTTTGAGAGCAGAGAAAGAAGTCTCGAGAGGAGGCTGGAGAGAACTCGAAAAATGAGGGGGAGTGCAAAACTCTCAGCCCTCTTACTCAGCCCTCTTACAGGCCGTTTCTGTTGGCTCACAATGAGACAAAGACACAGCAATGTGTGTCTACTTCTCTGCGGTTATAAAGCCCTCTGCCCAGCTGTAGGAAGTTGGGCTTGATTTTGACCTGGGAAGTGTGCGTCACCTTCCTCTGGTGGCCGGGAGCGCCGCAGCCCTGGAGCCAACACTTACACAATGTGTAACTGATTTGAATAGAATCAAATTGTATGGGTTTTTATAAATTGTTAAGTGTAGTGATTAATTTTGCAAAAGATCTGAGGTGTTCTGCTGCTTGTGTATGTGGCTGTATGAACTATGTGTAGTATTTGGACAAAATGAGCCCTGTTTTCAAAATTGTGCTTAAGCAATCGTAAAAAAAAAATACTTTGTGGCTGTGTATTTTGTCTGTTTAGGCTCAAAGCTGCATTTTCTTGAGCCATGCTATCAAGTTATTCTTGAGAATTTGGTATGTTCTGCCATACACTGTTAATACTTGATGAAAAGTACATTATGTTCACCTACTGTGAACGGTTTACATGTGGAGAATGTAAAGAATGCAATGTATCTTTCTTCTGTGTTTTTATAGATTGATACAGCATATACCTTGTGCCAGATACTGTGTTCCTCTACTACAGCTATTATGACAGGTTTTGGATTTTACTGGGGATGCTGCTCTAAATTTTGAAGAGAATATTTTACTGTTTTTTAAGCTTCCTTCTAGCCTATTCAGTTAATTATGAGCCCCTGGCAAGAGGGGTTCACTGTGTTTTATTTATTTTTTATTTTCTATATTTTTCTTTGTCCTTAACTCACGCTTAGGTGTTGGCCAAGTCAGGGGAGTTTGGGGGCTAATTGATAACTGGTGGTAATTGTGCTGTGTTCACTAGAATGACAGAAATTTGCAGTGCAGTGTATTTGCTGGAATGCTTTACAGAGTTGATTCACATGTGGTATTGTGATCATAATATGTGGTTAGTGTCCCAACTCCCACATGCTTAAGCCCACTAGCCTTGTGAATCTTTTTCTATTTTCTTTTTTTTAGTTTGACAAACCATACTGACAGTGGTTTTATGATTTTAAGCACAGTTAATAAACATTGTATTTTGTGTTTTCCCAAACCTGTGTTTGTGAATTTCTGATAGACAGAGCCCCACCCCGCTCTAGGAATAAACCGAGGGGTAGCACAGTCTGGTATGAACTAAGGGGGCACCAGACTTACATTCACAGATGTGAATTAGAGGTGCTTCTGGCACTAATATAAACAAATTAAAAAAAACATTGAAAGGTGGACTTGTCAGACCACAGCACACATTTACACTTTACATTTCAGTCTGTCTCAGATAAGTTTTATCCCAGAGCTTTAGCTCATAGTAGAATCATTGATGAATGTCAGAATCTTTGTGAAAACTGCATAAACGTTACCCAATTTTTCTCCCCAATTTAGTCGTCTCCAATTCCACCCGCTAGTTAGGACTCCCGCAATCACAGGATGCTATCAACGCTAGGAGAGTGAAAGCTAACACAGGCTTCCTCCAAGACCTATGAAGCCAACCACCGCTTCTTTTCGAACTGCCGCTCACGCAACGTCACTGGACAGCGGAACGCGCTCGGAGGAAAGCGCCAACCGCCAGATCTGTTACGTCAGCTAACAGACGCCTGCGCTGACTAGCATCGCGCTGAGTGATGGGGGGAGAAGGAGGGGCCATCCTACCCACCCAGAGAGAGCGAGGCCAATTGTGCTTTCTCGGACTCCCGGCTACGGATGGCTGTAGCATCACCAGGGATCGAACTCGCGATCTCCTGATGATAGGGCCAACGCTTAGACGGTTGCGCCACTCGGGAGCATAAACGGGTTTTAAGAACGGTTGGTGAATGAGTCTCAATGTTCTTAAACTGTCGGCACATTTTTGGGCGAAGTGGTGGGCCTTCACCCATCCTCTGTCATAAAGAACTGTGCCTTTCTTGAATGCTCCTTATATACCTAAACATGATTGCACCACCTGTTGAAAATGTGTTTTTAGACCAATTTACAGTGTTTCAGACATTTAAAAGACAAAACATTAAATAATTTGTTTCTATACTGTTTTCATTTAATAACAGGTCAAAGTAAATTTAGGAATCATTGCTTTCTTCACTGTTTTGATTTGCATTTTACTTACAGTCCCAACTCTTTTTGGTGTTGTGTATATATACACCAACCAGACACTTCATTAAGTACACCTCCTTGTTTCTGCATTTACTGTCTATTTTATAGGGTCCACTTACCAATTACCAATTGTTCTACAATTACAGACTGTCCATCTGTTTCTCTTCATACTTTGTTAGCCCCCTTTTAACCTGTTCTTCAATAGTCAGACCTCAAAATTAATGGTGCCATTTTTCATCAGCTCTCAATGTTTAATATGCCACTGTGCAAAACCTTTATAATACTTAAAATTGTCACTGGAGAGCAGGCACAGTTTGGTTGCTTAAGTAGTAATTGAGCCAGAAAATAACACCATAAAAAAGAATAAAAAAAAGCCTGCTATCATCAGTTATGTTGCAATGGTTACAATCACCATGCAGTCTGAATCGTGCACAGTCCTGATCAGAGAAATTGAATATTTATAGCTTTTGGCTCCATTTGAATATTTTTTCCACATGTGACTAATAATCATCAACTGTGTTTAATGATCATCAAGTCACATATCTGAAGAATTCAGAAGAACTATTTGTTATAATAATAATAATAATAATAATAATAATAATAATAATAATAATTTTACTGAAACCTAAATGTGATCATAAGTTCAATAAAATGTTGAATATTACTTTGGGACTGTGTTTACTTAATAGGACATTTATTCAGATTAGGTTTGTTACTTGGTTCTTGCAACAAGAAAATGCACTTGAATATATAATGTATACTTGAATATAAGTTTGCATAATTAAAATTGGATCTGCAAACAGAACACAACAATATTACAATAACTTTGTCAATAATCGTATTTTCATAGTATCCGGATATGCAATATTCCCCCCCCAAAGTGCCCCCCAAAAAATGCCCTTTTGAAACACCTCAGCCCCTGCCCTCACCAAAGTCTGTGCATGCCACTAAGTGAGGGGATCTGGTGACTCTATTATGGTGTGGGGGGCATTTTGCTAGGATGCTTTGAGTCCACTTGTCCCTACAGAGAGACGAGTCACTGCAAGTCAATACTAATCACCTTTATCCTATGAAGACACATTTCAATCCTGATGGCAGTGGTCTCCACCAGGATGAAAATGCTCCCATCCACAAGGCATTAGGGGTCGCTATATGGTTTGATGAGTGTATAATGAAAATTTTATGCTATGGCATTCATAGTCACCAGATCTAAACCTATCTAAACACCTATGGGAGATTTCAGACAGTGTTAAACAGGCTCCCCACCACCATCATCAAAACACCAACCGAGGTACATATCTTTTAAAAGAATGGTGTTCCATCCCTCCAGTACAGTTTCAGAGATGTACAATATATGCCAAGGTGCATTAAAGGTCTTCTGGTGTCGACTTACTTTGGTGTTTCCTTTATACCTTACATGTTTGTATGTATATGTACAAATCTTCAAGTATAGGATTTCAAAGGAAATAATACATTCAGAGATATGCAAAAGAGAAAAAATTAATGCTGATCATAACTGAGTGACTGATTGATTTTTGTATTAAGGTTTAGAGTAACTTACCTGAGCAGAAAACTCCAGCATCATTAGAGTGATTACACGCATGTCTACCCCAAAGTGTTGAGTGGCAGTTCTTCAGTGTAGACTCTGATCCACTACAGTCCACATCAACCATCCAAATTTTTCCTGATCCTGGTCCAAAGTGAGCATCACTCAGTGCATCAACAGCCTCTCCACAGCCCAGCTCTCTACACACCACTGCAGCATCTCTCATATCCCAGCCATCATCACACACTGTTCCCCACTGTCCTCTATGAAGAACCTCCACTCTCCCAGCACAGCGACTGCCACCATCTACCACCCGCACACTGCCTATACATGAAAGAAAAATGAGTGACATGAAAACAGGCAGAGAGATACAGAAATTTGCTATATTAAAGCAGAGTCAGTGAGATGCTCTAACACTCTAACAATTTCAAACATTAATCAGAGATATATTTCTTACCAGCACACACCACACCCACATCATTATCATGAGTGCAGGTGTTTTTGAGTGAAGATGATGTTGGACAGAAGTGAATCTGAGATTCGTTGCCTCTACACTGAAGCTCTTCTGACCACACCTGACCCTCCCCTCTGCCAAAAGCAGCTGCTCCCAGCACCTCCACAGGAAGCCCACAGCCCAGCTCTCGACACACAACCTCTGCATCCTGCTGGTCAAAGTCAGCATCACACACTGTGGACCAGGTCTCTCCATGAAGCACCTCCACTCTCCCAGAGCAGCGAGAACCACCAACCAGCCTGACTCCTGAAATGTTATGAGAAAACAGAGTCAGAGTATTCATATTTTCAAGATGGAGAAAGTGGTAATAAGATGTATTTTAATTAAAATGCCCTAAAAATGTCATAATATTTGTTTAATATTATATTTGTTTAATTATATACTGTGTTTTCCAAAAAGTATGACCACTGTAGGAACCACAAAGCATCCAGCCTTGGAACCCCTACAACCAGGTGACCTGACTTCTCTACATGGTTTCCCCAGGGATAAGAAGGACATGGAAACCTTTCTGTGGGCAAGACCAGACTTCCTTTAAAAGCGCTGTAAAAGGGGATCTTTTCTCTTACGTGTGTAAGTTTTATACAAAGCATGCCATGTTTTGTCTTGATTTAAAGGTAAAAGTAATCATGCCAGAGACATTGAAATGATCTTCAAAGTTGTGGGACACACCAGTTGCATGATATGGACATAATGTGGATTTTATGTCCAGCATCTCAAAGTGGAGGCTTTTTGATTCAAGATACCAGCCAGGCCAAAGTAGCTGAACCCAAGGACACACTTTTGAGTGATAATATAAACTTCTCTCTGCTTCTCTTCCAATAGTAGAATGATGGCAAGACTCAATAAGCTATAAACTATCAAGAATCTAATTTGGTGTAAATTCCAGATAGATAGGTTTTTCATTGTTATTTGTGATTTTACATAAGGTGTTCATTTTTCCTACTCTTGGTTTTCACTTAGGCAACTTAATAATACAGCATATTTGACTTTACCTGTGTCTCTTCAGTTTCTTATATTACCTTCTCCAGCTTGTTTATATCACTGTGTACACTGGTGTCTTTTTCTATACTCTCTTTTCTCTTTCTTTGTCTTTCTTTTAAGCCTTTTTTATATCATTAAACTTTGTAAATACTTTACCCATGTGTGCATATTTTGTACTATAGAATTTCTAACAGCTAAGACAGAACTCAGGTTTTCTTTAGATAACAAAAAAAAATTATACACCTCATTGTTATTAATGGTCTCTGTAGAGTTAACTATGAAGTACACCTGATTTAGAGACTATTTTGCCCTGTTGGATTAGTTATCCGCTTATGAGAAATGATTATTACCTTAATTAATAGCAATAATTTAGCCACAACTCCCATACCATTAAAAATGTGTGAAAATATAGCAGCATACCTGAACAGATGACTCCAGCATCATTAGAATGATCACAGTTATGTTTACCCCATCCTGGTGATTTACAGTTCTTCAGTGTTGACTCTGATCCACTACAGTCCACATTAGCCATCCAGATTGGTCCTGATCCTGGTCCAAAGTGAGCATCACTCAGTGCATCTACAGCCTCTCCACAGCGCAGCTCTCTACACACCACTGCAGCATCTCTCATATCCCAGCCATCATGACACACTGTTCCCCACTGTCCTCTATGAAGAACCTCCACTCTCCCAGCACAGCGACTGCCACCATCCACCAACCTCACACTGTCTGTACAACACAGGGATGGAAAGAAACAACTTTGCTGTCCATGTTTACTGTCATCTGTAAATGAGTAGTATTTTACATTAAGGGCAGACTACACCCATAGTAAGTGGTTTGAACCCGCACTGCCGATGACAAACCAGTGTCAACTGACTACAGTTAAGGGCAAGACAGAAGGCAAAAAGAGAACTTTTTGTGCCACTGTGGTTTAACGAGAGGGTGGTTCAGTGGCCGCACCACTAAACATTAGCACTGGAAGTTAGTCCAAGCTTAGTGGGAAAGCCTTAACAACTTCACACACAACCAAGCAAGTTCATTCTGGCTAACTGACATATCATTAACTTTAGTTTAGAGAATAAAGACTCAGATCTGAGTGGGTTAATCTGTGTTTCATTTTGGAGCTGTTAGCTTAAACTACTTTTGCAGGTTAACATTGGCTTTGCAAGAATGCTAAACAACCAGACAACCAAGAGTGGGTTTCCATGGTGTTGCTCCAAAAATGAATACTGCCAGTATGTGCAAGTTTCAATCCAGCCCTGAATATTTGGAACAGTGAACACCTAAACATATAGAGCAGGGAAATTCCAGGAGCAGTTTCGGCCACTTCTGAATAATACATATCTTTATCAAGTGTTTCATTTGTTCTCAAATAATATTTCAGCCATTCCTAAATGTTAACATGAGACTTTAGATAATGGCTAAGTGATTGTTAAATTCTAATATTTGTCCTATTTTTTGTTAATCATTTAGTAACATTAATAAAAATGTAACAATGTATTATTTATTGCTTAATTATACATTTTTATAAACTTCAATAAATTGTTCATTGGCGCTTAGTTCTTACTCCGCTAAATTTTGAGTCACATTCATTAATCAGCTTGGCAAACTTTTTAAAGTCTGAAACAGTAAATGCTGAAAAAGACTGTCTGCAAGTTTACCCTTCAATATTTAAAGAAATCAAAGGGAATAGCGGAAAAGTACTGAATAACTTTATCTGTTTATTTAATGATTTGTTGTTAAGACCATAATAGCTTAGTACTTTGCTATTTTGGGCTTTTGGTATGAGAGTGTACTTTTATTGTGAAGTGTTACCAATACATGCGCAATACAGAATAATACAGAGCATTTTGAAGAATTTGCGTTTAAAGGGCCAATATAGTTATTGACTATTTAATTCTTGATGTTACTATTGCTTCAAAACAAGAAATGTTTTATTTTTATTGATAACAGCCTTCCCTGACTTGCTGGACTTGTTGGTTCACAGTGCTGCTTAGTGCTTCAGAGAGCACTAGCAAGATAGTGCTAGGTCTCTTATTGCTCCCCAGTGCTCAGAGGAAAACAATGCTGCTTCAACTGCACCCAAAAATATTGGTGCAGCCCTGCCTGTACCCAAAGACGTTCCAGTGTCCACTCCTGGTACAGTCTTCCCTGACCTGCCAGACTCTGAGTTCCCTGACTTGCTGCCAATGCTCCAGAGAGCACCAGTGAAGTAGCTATGAGTCCTATTACTCTGGGGCACTAGGCAGTGCTATGGGACCCGCTGCTACATTGCTGCCGCTCTCTGGAGCATCTGCTCTTGTATTTGTCTGTTTTCCCTTCTTGTTAACCTTCATGTCTCTTACCTGTGTTTTGTGTGTAACCCAGTAATTACACAGTGCATTTTTCTTCTGTTATTTTCTAAGGATTATGATTAACACACATATGCATCCTGATCCATCTCCTGCTTATCCAGTGTTACAATTAATAAATCAGATGTCAAATATTTACGCTACCAAATAATATGTATTTGTATAAAAATATAGTGGAACTCTCCCCCCTTCCACATCCTTAATATTGATGTCCATTGACTGTAAAGTTACATCATATTTGTGCATGAGTTGGGCATATACAGGATGATGACAATGACAAACCTATACACAGTTAGGGGGAACAGACTGGAACAGCATTTGATTTTGTTTATCAAGCACAAAAAGATCTTATCTGCTTTTATAGATCTCCATCTCATTTTCATGTAAACCTTTTCTAGTCTTTACATTTTTCAGATATTGTTCTATTAGGCCTCTGTCAATTTATGTGTTAATGACTGACAAAAGGTGAATAAAAGTAAAACAGCGAAAACGTCATTATTGTTTATTAATTAAATAGTCATTATTATTATTATTATTATTATTATTATTATTATAACCAACTTAGTCAGTGATACTTGGATCAACTGAGCCTATGATGAAATTCAGAAAGAATGAATGAGATCATAAGCATGCTCGGTTAAGAACAGATTTGCCCCTTCAGAAGAGAAAATAAGGAGGGGAGCATCTTACTCTGGGGGCTTCTTTTCAATAATTATATTTTAAATTTCAAGTCTTCTTCAGAACATTGTCATAAATTAAAACGTTTTGAGTGAAGAAAATACACAATGCCACAGGGAGTTAAATGAAAAAAAAATTAGACATTTATTAAAGTAGATTTAATGCTCACCAGCACACAGCACACCCACATCATCATCATGGGCGCAGTTGTGTTTGAGTGAAGATGATGTTGGACAGAAGCGAATTTGAGATTCGTTGCCTCTACACTGAAGCTCCTCTGACCACACCTGACCCTCCCCTCTGCCAAAAGCAGCTGCTCCCAGCACCTCCACAGGAAGCCCACAGCCCAGCTCTCGACACACAACCTCTGCATCCTGCTGGTCAAAGTCAGCATCACACACTGTGGACCAGGTCTCTCCATGAAGCACTTCTACTCTCCCAGAGCAGCGAGAACCACCAACCAGCCTGACTTCTAAAATAATAAAACAGAGAACATAAAATGCTCTTTTATTACTGATATTAATCTTTTATAGATTACTGTCACTCCTCTTATTAGAACTAGGCCATACAACACCTGCCATAAGTAATTCTGATAATATAATTATATGGCAATAAAACATGAACAAAGGATTAGTTCTACTGGCATAATAAATGGTATACTAAAATATGTATTAATATTATATATGTAATAAACATCAAAATAACTTGGCTGGCCCCTCCCCCACCTCTAAAATACTTGGTTGCTCCCAGAGTGGGAAAGAGAAGTTTAAACATTTACTATCTTCACTGTGAAGTTCCACCATCTGGCATATCATACTAAGATAAAGAGTTTCTGCAAGTAATGGTGTGACACATATAATGGTTTAGCACAGATTTAGAGATGTTTTTAAAAATGCAAATTAATTGATGTACATTAACCAGCATCTCAAGATATTGTGTAGACTCCTGTCTATCACTCCGTCTGAGGCTGAGACTGACACACGTTAATGCTACAGTAACACTGTCTGTGTAGTAGATAATGTTAAACATTGGAATTAAGGTACCCTTAACTCTAGCTGACCTAGCTGTAATATGTTTTTCCTCAATTCTGTCATTCATAAAGCAATTGCAAGAGACATAAGTGACAAGATAGAGGACACAGTACTGAAACAAACACTGCCTAGAAACACATTGCAAGCTTGTGTCATTAGTTTGTACTCTTTACCTTCTAAACTTCTATTACACAGTATTCACATCACACACTATGAGAGTATCTAATGTGAATAAATGTAATATTTAGATGAAGAAAAAGAAACATGAACTTGTATGCTGTTCTTAGTAGTAAAACAACATCTAAAAGTTTGGATGTTTTTGATAATTAACGCATCTGAGAGTTAAAATACATCACATCACACTCAGCAGAGGCAAGATAGGACACAATTCCAGGGTGCTTTGCCTTATGTAAGGTATACATTCAGAATGATAAACAGTCCAAGTCAAACACCATCAGACAGGTAAATGCAGAGCTGGGATGCCAGAGACTTCACAAACAGGGAGAGCAAACCGAGGATATTTAAAGAGTAATGAGCAACAGGTGTGAGAGAAGGCAGGAAGGGTGGGCATGGAGCAGGATGGTCACTATTTCTGGGTGCTCTACAAAAAATGAATGCACTGCAGGAGCTCTGAGTCAAATCAGCAAACTGTGGATTTACTTTATATTACTGGATCTTTTTACACATACAGTGCTATCATACATTCAGTATTATAGCCAAACACTTTTAGAGCTATGATTGTCAGCCAGTTTAGACTTTAAGCCAAATTCTGACTTTTTCTGTGGGTCTTTTGCTTACGTTCACATTGTCAGAGAAAAACAAAAAGAAGGATGTGTGCTGGGGCTCTGTGCAGAAACTGCCAGAGAAAAAAAAACAAACCTCCTCTGCCCAGCATGTTGCTTGCTAATGTCCATTCATTGGACAACAAGCTACAAGAGCTGCATGTACAGATTAAACATCAACAGGACGTTAGGAGCTGCTATCTGGTGTTCATTAAGACATGGCTGGAGCCTAGTGTGCCAGATTGTGCCACCACCCCAAAGAATTTCTCCATCTACCGACAGGACAGAATGAAGGACTCAGGCAAGAGGAAGGGATGC